TTCGAGCCGGCCCTGAACCCACAACGGGTGAAGGGTGGGTTTAGGGTTTAGGGTTTAGGGGTTTAGGGTTCAGGGGTTTAGGGTTCAAGGTTTCAGGTTTAGGGTTTAGGGGTTTAGGGTTCAGGGTTTATTGTTTAGGGCAGTAAGGTCACAAGGTTTAGTACACAGTGTTTTGTGTCAAGCTCCTTTTCGAACTGTTGCCCAGAATCTACGATTCAGGGGTTTAGGGTGCAGGGGATGCCAAGCTGGTTTATAAGGAGTTTTCTGCCAACATACTTATGCCGCGAGCCCCTTGTGGCAAGAGTGATGTACTTAAGCTGAAGCTTTGCATAACAATATGCGTACCTTTTCATCGAGTTGTTGAGAGGTTTAACTGCTTTTTTGGAGTTGAAGATGTACTGTGCATGTCCACATCCTCTGTTACAGAAGCTCCATAAAACAAAAACAATTTCGACATGTCGCGAACTGCACTGGTTGCTTCAGCAAGCGCGATTATCAGCTACACATGTTCAAAGAAGTGCGAGTCTTTCGCTGAAAACGCTCTTGGTATTCTTAGCCAGGAGCCGGGGATGGTGTTGGGTCGGCCAGCTGTATGAGTCCCCTAATGTCCGGATCTGCCCTGTGCTCTAACAGTTGTTGATGCAGCCCTATATGGGACTTTCCGAAAATGGGGGGTACCTTATTTTGGGGTCCTTATAATAAGGATCCTACTATTAAGGGTACTATATTAGGGCCCCCTATTTTCGGAAACCACCATATAGAAGCTATACTGACCTGTGCCTAAAGCCCACTGTAACCAATAATCCCAAAGCCCGGAGCCTAAGCTAAACCCCTAAACCCTAAAAAATACTCCCAAACCCCAGACAATGCCTAAGCAGATACTTTGGAGATACATGGATCTTTCGGTTCATGCGTCGGGCCAAAAAGTTAGGAAGCTTAAAGCCTGTTCGTTCAGTCTAGGGACGCCCCTTGATTAAGGACTTGCACCTTCAAGTTACAAGATCTCTTAATTACGGGTAGATTGAACTCGCGACGGCCAAAAGCAAGAAAACACCCTATTGAGTCATCATGAAGCGATT